AACCCTGTGAGGTGGGTTGGGCTGAGAGAGTATGACTGGCCCAAAGTCACTCCATTAGTTTTTGTGCTTTTCACAGTTTGTAGAAAGAATTAGCTGTATATTGCACAGCCCCAGTTTTAGTCAATTTAAACAATGTATTTTTCAACCTGGCAGGAAAACAAGTTGCTAGCTGAAAATAAAATCTTCATTAACTATAAAATGATGATGTACCAAAAGTCAAGCATGCAGCCCTTATTGGTTCTTTAAGCACCACTGTGTGCATGTTTTGCTTCTCAGAATCAAAAAGCATCAGCAACGTGCAATTACCCCCATATGCCTGTGCAATTATCTTCCATTTGATATCTATAAAGTAAGAAAAAACACATTATAACATATAGGCTAAAACATGCTTACCTAACTGTTAGCAATCAATAATCTGTGAAGCCAGTGAATAAAGTTATTTTATTAAATATGTTATGCAAATTTAGATAACTATGCTAATGTGATAAAACACAGTTATACTATTTAGGGTATTAGATAGTATTATTTTCAGATAAGAGACCAACATGCATGTTTGGCAGGTGAGTTTTTCAGGTGAATAAAAACAGCTTTAACAGAAATGAGGCAGCATATGAAAGTATAATCTCTAGATAGCAGACCTGGCTCAGTTCTTTTCCTTATTCACTGTATGTTATTTGTGCATGTAAATTGGAGTTAGCATCTATATTGTGCTGCACTAATCCCACATATGGAAGAAAAACTCCTTATTTAAAGTGACAATTTAATAGGTAGGTCTACCTTCCAAACTCAAACTAATTCTTTCAACTCTGTCAGCTATACACTTCCTACCATTAAAGTCTACAAAGGACTTGTACTGCAAAGAACCCAGACAAGCAGGAGCACTAGCTCCTCCCATGCTATAGGTATCAAAGGGAACAAATCTTCACAATTGCCCTTACCAGACATTTATAATTCTCCTCTTCATCAAGCAAACCACAGTGAAGGCATAAATATTATCCCGGGCATATTGTTGTAAATGTCCTAAATAATGTTTATCAACCTTCTGTGAAGAAATATCAGCAATATAATAATTTAAATCAATCCTTCATCTACAATGAAATGCCAAATGAAAGTAAGGATGCTACACCATCTAAAGTAAGCAATGTTATGATTAAATGGCAACTAAATCTTAACAGAGCAAAGCTACTATAGTCTGACCAAAATATAGCACTCTGCTGTTTTGATTTCTGCATAGGAAAGAGAGTGAGTGTTGGCAGTGAAAGATGCACTTATCATCTGGTGATAGGCACCTGGCAAGTTCACAGGGTTCAGCTTTCCAATCGTCTGGAGCCAGCAGCACTTCCCTCTCCCAGCCTCTTCCCTCCACATGCATTTGTGAAGCTGAAAACTGCACGAGAGTGGGAAAACTTCTCATGTCAGCATTGAGACCATTTTTATCTTTGGTATTTGTAATTCAGCCTTGTGTGCCATTTATGGGAAAAAACAGAACTCAAAAATAAATAAAATAAACCTAGGTGTTGGCTGGTGAGAAAGTGCAAAGAACTTATTTCCCAGTACAATTAAAATTGTAACTGCAGGACTTTAGAAACAATACCAAATAAAAATAAACATATATTTAAAAAATATATAATAGCCCGTGTCTATCATTGTTTTTTTTAAATTGAAAGTAAGGAACTATCAGATAATTATTTACAGGAGATTAACAAATTGGAGTATTTAGAGCAGAGGAGGAGGAGATGTGGCAGCACCATAATCACCATTCAGAAATAGAGAGATAAATATTCCCTGATGTCAAATTTGACTCTTGGTGATGACAGGTATGTTTATGCAGGACTTTTTTTTTTGCAATAATATATAACTAGTTTCATAGTGCTTTCTTATAGGATGTTATTTTAGCTTCCCAGGCCACCCACAACTGATTTCCTGATGGTCTTCCATCCAAATAATAATTAGATCCTATCCTACATATTTTTTCAAGCTCTGCTAAGGTCAGCTAGCTGCTGTCATCTGCACTTCAAGCCTCTTGTATTGGAAGAGATACAAACATTACACATGGATCTGTTTGTCAAAAAGAGAAGGAGGAAACATGTTATTTCTAGGATGCCTTCCACTGGGCAGTAGTTCAATACATTAAAAATAGAAAATATAGACTAAACAGCAGTTAAAATTACACCAAAGCAATACAATACATCACAATATTATAGTCACAATAACAGCCAATGAAAAATCTTGTAAGGTTTCAAATCAATATACACACTCAGATCACTTTTCCCCTCACAGGACATTATTTTGTGATTGCAATATAGAAACAGTGTGTATGTGGGAGGGGGTGACAATACCAATTATAATAACACCAATCTTTCTTTAGGACTCAGGTCCCTATCATTTTTTCTTCTCCAGATGGCTAGATATCTGTTTCTATTTATTGTTTCTGATACCTTGAACTGATGGAGCAGCAGATTCATCCTAGTCAATTGCCAAAGCTGAACTGAAACTAGAATTCAGAAGGCTATATGCCAGAACTTGACCAGAAAATAGAAGGACCATTTTCACTGCATGTTCAAGCCTGACCCAGGAAGGCAGGTTACTTTGCACTACCCAAGCTCACTTCACTCCCACGGCGCTACACGAGAAAGCAGAACGCATGGATGCTTCTTCTGTAGTCACAGGCTTTTTTTGACTTTTAATAGACCCAGCTGGGGCAAGGATGAGATAAAAATGGCAGAGCAACTTATAAGCAGAAATTATGGGGACTGCTCACAACACTCACATTCTAATTTCTCTGTTTCCCACAAAATGGAACATACCACAGGATATTTGCAAATAAATCATGCATGCCTGTGCAAGGTTCTGCTACTGTGCCCATATACTAAAAGTTATCAATGTCAGTCACTAGAAATCATATAGTTCTTAGCTTCTCACATGAGATATTAACTATTTTTGTGACTTTAGTAGCTACCTCCCTCCTTTAGTGCTGGAAGTTTCTTATGCACAGTCCCACTTACGTTTTATTTGGCTCCAGGATTTCTGAGTTATTTTATATTAAAATACTTGGCTCACCTCACCATTTAAGTGAAGCAATCTCAAGGGCAAATTTAAACTCAGTCTTCAAGGAGTTTGTAGAAGATAAGCTAGGCATCTCCTCCTTTGACAAGGGACTGCAATCAAGAAAGGGAATCAAGTGAGTGTAGAAATGGTATCCAGAACTGAAGAAAAAATTTAGACAATGAGAATTGGAAGACTGAGATTACACAGCCAAACAAATCTTTCACTTTCTTTCTTAACTTCCACTGGTTTTCCACTTATACCACCACTGTGCAGCTAATTTCAGGTTTTTTCATTGTTGCAAATGTACTTTTTAAATCCTCCTTCCTTAAAGCAAATACTAAATCAGCTGAAGAGAAAATTAACATGGTCTTTACAAGATCCCTGGTAATAGAGCAAAAATAGAAGTATCTCCTCAATTCAACTTACCATACCTAGATGCAGAGCAGCAATGCAGAAATGGTTCACCATTATCTCTTCCGCATTTTTTTTTAATTTCCCAGTCTAATCCATAAACTTGAGATTTTCTGATGATCAACTATATATATAGATGCTTAGCTCTTTTTCCACCTTAAGCTCAAATAAAATCAGCTAAATGCAGCCATACTTAATCAACACTCCCAGTAAAACTGATACCTAGAAGAAAACTATAGTAAATGATGTAATGTGTTGTTACTGTGAAATGAGATCAGAGCAAATAAGATAGGGAAAAAGAGTGCCAAATGAATATGATTTATACCTCACCTAGTAAAATTATTTGCTCTCTTAAGCTATACTCATTATTTCAATGAAGATTAATACTGTCATGCCATCATTAAGTTCTTCCCCAACTGTCAATTAATTGGACTTTTCCAGTCATTATTGTTGTTCCATTAAAAGAAATCCAGTCCCTATTGCTTCCATACCATTTTCCAAAGATTTGTTTCTCCATTTCATGACTGAGTATTGCTGGATAGTCATAGCCCCTCCCCAGAGTTTTTTTTAATCTCAGCATGGCTTTTGATGAACCATGTAACTCCACTGGCTTCCAGAAATTTGCAGAAATGTATGAATTTCCAGTTTTTACAAACAAGAAAAGCATCATATATCTGTAGCATCTCAGTCTATTATGCTTAGCCGACACTGTATATTTCTTTCCATACATACCTTTTCAAGCCATTACTTCCAGTCACTAGTACAGTATATCTAAAATCTGCCTCAGAAACACTCTAAAGGTCCTGGTACGCAAAATTTTCTGTCCATTCTCCGTTCCATCTTTATTTTCATTGTTCTTTTTTCTAGGTTTTTTTCAGGCAGCAGTCACCTTTCTCCAATATACACTAAACACTGTCCTGCTTCACCATAGACATATTATGTTTACGTACAGATGATTCCAAATGCATGTGTTTATTCTCCCACCCCTATTTTCAGTAAGCTTTCCCTTAGGGGCAACCCCACCCTCATCTTATGTTAATGAATTTGTTCAATTCAGGCCCGTTCTACAATTTCTCCCCTTTGATAAAGTTTCTCCTCTATCCTTTCTGTGATCCGCTGCATGATGTCACCTGTAAACTGGGTAATAAGAATTACTCCTTATTCAGTTCTAGACTCTTTCCACCAAAGGGCTTAACACCAGCCCACTAAATTTAGTCTAACAAGACTTAACTCACCAACGTCTTCTCTGTCGGTGACATCCTGAACTTCATGACACTCCCCTTCTACCTTCCTTCGTAACATATCTTCTTCTGCCCTCCACCACCCCTATCAATATGCCAATCTCCTAGGGACCCCCTTCCATACTATACAATTTATTTCCTATTTCCGTATAACCACTCTCTTCGGCCTCATTATGCACATATACGCATGCCTGCAAAGTGCTTCCCCAACCCCCCCTCCACCTCCAATGCCCCCCTCCCCATCTCAGCCATCTAGTACTTCTCGGAGCAATACTTAGGCCTAGGATTTGCCCCCGTTACCTGCCCGATCTCCATCTCCGTTCCTCCGGGACTGCAATTGGAAGGGGAAGGTGGACTTGAGCGGCTGCAACCCGGCCCAACAGGAGGAAGTCCCCGCCGCCATGGCCCGGGTTGAGACAGTCAAAGCCGCTTGCGGGGTGCCGTTTAGCCAAACAACTCCCCAACCTTCACGCTTAACGCCCCGCTCGCACTATGTGACGGGCAACTTGGTCCCAGGACTAAAACCAAACAGGAGGCATTTTTTACACGCTTGGAGGCGTGGCTTCGCGCAACGGCCGCCGCTCATTGGCCAACAAAGTTGGACAAGGTGGGATTTAGGCAAAGACTCGCATGGTCGACTCCCGTGAATAACTCCACCTTTTCTACTGCCGGTGCGTTTCCTGCCTTGTGGGGTGTGAACGCAGCCTAGAGAGGGGAACAAAACCTTGGGTTTCTTTTTTGTTGTTGGTCCGCTGTTCACTAGCATAATGTTCCCCTTTCCAGTTTGTTTTATGGGTGGAAAACCATCTAAATAGGCCCCTCTCCAGGAAAAACAAAACAAAAACGTTTTATAGTCAGGCTTGGAGATCATACTTTTTTCTAACTTCGTTTCTTACATTGCGATTCACGTTTTATTAAATTGTTTTGAATAAGCCAATCATATTTTTTTTTTAAATCTGGTGAAATACTGCAAAAGAAATGTCAAACAGAATAGCCCTTACTGCAAGCTTTAAGATGATGAAGATGACGATGGTGGAACATTGGCTAGACTCTAGAGATTAGTCCAGTAATTTTCAACTATAATAACCAAGATCCCTTTGCCTTTTCTGGTATAAAGTTGAAATTGCCTTCCATTCAAAAGAAACTTATTTTAGAAGAAACAGCCTTAGCAGCATCTCTAACTTTCTGTATTGCTGTCATGAACACAATTATTTGCTTTGACAGTCTCCCTCCCCCTGCTTACAAAAGTGAAGCAACAGAGTATAACGATATTTGCATGGTTATTTGTAAATGCATGAAGGGCACATCTTAAAAGGGAAAGCACATTTGTCACAAATGTTACAAAAAAATTAAACATCTGTAGACTAGGGGGTGTGCATAAGCGCACTAATCGTGTCTACTATCCCTGAACACTATGCTGCGTTATATTTATTTACTGAATTATATTTACTGCTGAAAATATTGAATTATGTTTACTTTGAAGAAAAACTAGATCCCCCCCCCCCCCCAAAAATAACTCATCTTTAAAATAGAAGGGTTCTCTGAAATTTACGGCCAATAGTATAATGAGGGGAAATTGGATTTTATCCCTCCCATCTTCTACCCTTTCTTTTTGGGAAATGGTGCCCAGTCTAAAGCATGTTTGCTCAGGAATTTAATTGTGTTTCCTCTGAGTTCAAGAGAAATTACTCCCAAATCAGTGAGCAATTAATATTCAATGTAAGCAATTTCACGGGAGCAGCAGCATGTTCCTTTCAAGGACTTAGACCAGCAATTGGCAAACATAGTACCCCCAGATAATCTGGAGTCAACCTCTAATATTTATGACCACTGGCAATGCTATCTGTAGCAAATGAAAATTGAAGTTCAAAACATCTGAAAGACACCAGATTCCCTACCATGGGGTGGAAGCAACATTACACATAGAGACATCCAAGAATCTTATGTATTTCCACTGGAAAGATTAGGCTCCATTCTTGCACAGTTGGAAGACTGTGGACCCAAAATATGTATTTATCTATCAAATTCATGTAGACATCCATTTTTCCAAAGGTGATTCTGGATGGTGCAAAACAACAAGTAAAGCAGCAAATATAAAGCAAAAAAAATCTAGAAACCAGAGTAATAAATAACAAAAAAATTACTATTCATCAGCGAAAGGAGGATAAAAATGCCCCCTCAGCAATGGAGCCATCGAGACAAATCTCCAGCTCCCAACCAGGTAAGAGGAAAATGTGAGAAAGATACTCAAACTAACTCCACATGCTCTAAGTATAAGTTGAGTCAAAAGATGCTTTCTACTAGTAATACAGATCTCTCAGGAAATCCATTCTTATTTCCTGAGTTTGTCTACCTTAAAGGGCTTTACTCTTTGATATAGAACTCAACTCTGTCCTCTAAACCATAGTCTGAGATAGAGGTCCTTAAATTGTTTGATCTAATTACCCCTTTTCCTGGTCCTGAATAATATCATTCCCACCCCACCAAAAAACCATCAGACTCTGTTGTTTTACATAAATGGCAGTCCCAAATTGGATCCTCAATCCACAAATAAGCAAATTGTTCCATTATCTACATAATTCCACATAATTTCTGTTCTGTGGTTCTTAATCTTATTAATAGTTGGAAGATTAGGTTCAGACAACAAAGTAATCCACAGTTTGATTAACCATAGCTTATTCAGAAAATCACAATTGGCTGGATTTTTACATTTTGTATGTCACCAGCCATACTTTAAAATCCACAATGGTTAGGCTCATGCAAATGGCCTAGTGCAGTGATGGCTAACCTTTTCCACGTTGCATGCCAAAAGTGTGCGCGTGTGCCCCCTCTCTCTCTCACACACACATGCCTGCATCCATGATGCAATTCATATGCAACTTCCCCCATCCCCTGCGCATGCGACCCCCTCTGTGCATGCCCAGGCAACCCCCACATGCCACATGCCTCTGCGCATGTGCGCATGTCTCCCATGTGCATGTCTTCCCCACGCATGCATGGCAGATACCCGACAATCAGTTGGCTGGTGGGGGGGGCACATGCATGCCAGTGGAGCTCTTCCAGGTGACCTCTTACGTGCCGGCAGAAGTAGCTCTGCGTGCCACTTCTGGTACCTGTGCCATAGGTTCACCATCACAGGCCTAGTGCAACATGTGGCACTTTTAATAAATTCCTGCATAGTGGCCAAATTATGTAGCTATTGAATAAATCCATTTTCTGCATTTTTCCAAGATAAACCACCAAAAGCAACAGACAAAAAAAACGACTAAAACTAACTAAAGACAGTATGGCAAATGTACAGAATAGAATGATGGATATGCAAGACATAATGCAATGGCTATATTTTTACACAGGATGAAAATTGTATTGGACTCTTAAATAAAAGAGAGGCCCAGAATTTCTGAAGTTCAGTATATGAATAAAACTTTATACCCACATGATCTTAGCCAAAAGGCCTAGGAGCAATGTGAATATTGAACTGGAATTTCCTTGTCTTGCACATTTGAACTTCCTTTTCATTTATAAATAATAATGAAGCAATGATGTTTTTCTGAGTAATGTGCTTTGACCCTGCAATTTTTTTATCTTAAATCTATTTTTTTCCCAATTTAATAAATTGGCTAAGGATGAAGCAGGGTAGTGGTTAAGATAGGAGTGAGCAACTAGGGTCCCATTACAACCTGTGGACTTCAACTCCCAGAATACCTGAGCCAAAATGGTTGCTCACCCCTGAGTTAAGCTATTGGTGCAGGAGTAGGGAGACTCAGGTTGCAACCTATCCTTAGCAATATAAACTTCTAGATCAGGGCTGTTAAACTTGCGGTCCGCAGGCCGGACGCATCATGTGCGTCAACATCCATGCCCAATTTAGCAAAAGGGAAAAAAGTCCCAACACATCATGTGATGCCGCCGTGACAACATCAGTTTGACACCCTTGTTCTAGATGATATTGGGCTAGTCGCTATCTCCCAGAGCAGCCAACCTCATAGGATTGTTGGTGTAGGGAAAAATAGAGAAAAGCACTATATATGTCATATTGAACTCCTGAAGGATAAGTAGAATATAAACTTTAGATAGCAAAAGGCTGGTCTAACTTTTTTTTAAAATCCTCTAGAATTTCAAAAAGTGAGAATTTCTGAAGCAAATGAAAGGACTGAGAATCATAATTATATTATAATCTGGATTACTGACCAATTCACAAAGAGAATGTCAATTTCGCTTCAGTCTCACGTCTATCTCTCACTGTCTGGTACATCTGCCAACAAGTGGGTGTGGTGAACATATCTACTACAAAAGTTACGGCAGATTCGCTGAATACCTTAAAAAGATAAAAGACGGGGGGAAAGAGCACCAGATTATCTGGAGAAAGAAAAAAGGAGCCCTGACATAAAACAGGAAAGAAGCGCTCTCCATTTTATTCCCTAATTTAATTTGCAGTACTATGAGTTTTTAAAAAGCCAGACAAGAAATATTGATCCACAACTGAGGTCTGTCCTGCAAGATCCTGTATTGTTCAGATCCACATGTTAAGCCAGAGTCTTTCCCTACTTGCACTTAATCATGGGACACTCCCCCCCCCGCCCCCCCCAAAAAATAGCCCTGGCTATGAGAGTCCTTGGTGCTCTCTGAGCTTGGTAGTTTTCTTACAGACGTTTCATTACCCAAACTAGGTAACATTATCAGTGCTAGAAAGGAATAGGGTTTGCTCTTAGCTTATATTCTAATAACTTGCCCTGTCAGTGTTAATGGGGTAGTCTTGGAGGGTCTTTAGTTGGGCTGATTACTGTTGGCTTGTTTGGCAATTCCTTGATTGGGGTTTACTTGATTGTTGGTCTGATGATAATCTTGGAATTAATCTATGCTTATCTGGGTGCTGATTACTGGTGTTAAGGTGTGTTGGTTTTTTTATTCCCTCTTTGGCTTATTGTCTCTTTTGCATAGTATATAAATATTGTTTATATCTATGTCTCTATTGATGGCTAAAATGTCAGAGTGCCAGACTTCTAGAAATTCTCCAGCAGTTTTGGATTTGGCTTGGTCTAGGATAGTCACAATTTTTCAGTTGAAACTATGGTTAGGTCTGTCCATATGTTGTGAAATTAAAGAGATTTCATCTTATTTGCTGACTATCGGTAGTGTTCATTCTGCCAGTCTTCTACCTGTTTGTCCTACAAGGTGACAATCATTACACTGAATATTGTAGATGACTTCTGTTTTTTTCCTCTGGGGCTGTTGGGTCCTTTTGTTTACTTAGAATGTTTTGAAGGGCTTTAGCTGGCTTGTATGCTGCTGATTCTATGTGGTTGTGGTAGTCTGTTGGTGGTTTGTGAGATGTTCTTGATATTTGACAGTGTTATTCTTTTCATTGACTATTTTTATACATTTACATTATAGCATCCCTCGCCATCCCTTCCCCCATGTTTTTAGGACATGAGTGAGACAGGCTTATAACATCCAGAGCTGCCCTGTTATTATTAAAGTAGTCTTGTCACCTTTTCTGACTGCTGAAGTTGTAATAGAAACAGGATAAAGCTGGAAAAGGGGATAGTCAATT